AGACCAGCCAATTAGCCTCGCCGCAACAGGCTCACGGAGTTGAACACCGGCGTAGCAAATGAACAAGTCAGCACCTCCTGGTTTACGAGCCTATGTTGCGAGACGAAAAAAAGATCAAATGAGAAAAACCGCATCTAATAAGAAAAATGCTGCTCAATTACAAGAAGGGATTTAGTTTAAAAAGCCCAGAAATTGCCCTTATCCATCACATAACTCGATAGCCTATAGGTGCTCAACGATTTAAATCAACTAAATGAATAGACAATGAACTTCAGAATATGTTTGAGACACCTTTACCCTCACTCTCCTGGTTTACAGGCCTATGTTTTGAGATGAAAATAAGATGTGAAAAACAAAACAATCCGATAGACTATAGGTGCTCAACATTATAATCGATGAATAGACAATGAACTCGGGATATGTCAGAGACACCCTCTCCATCATTCTCCCAAACAACGAGATACATTTGACACAATTAATAATTTGTTCAAATTTAAAGAATGTTGAACATGAAGCGACCTTCCGCTTAAACATGCATAAAAAAAAGGAACGACTAACTTCCACCAACCCTTGCGTAAAGATGGATTCTGTCACATTCTGTTTATATAAGAGAAAGTTCAGATGAATTTGCTAACCTCAAGATCGGTAGCACCATCACCGATCATGACTAATGCTTTGAATCCCTTAACCTGAAAAATTTCTTTAGTCAGACTCAGAAACAGAACTTTTTGCCAACCGATACAAAAAACAGAAACAAGACTCACCTTTCTTATTTGTTGAACAGCCGTAGCTTTTCCTCCACTCCTTGAAGTAGGCTCATTAGCATCAAATCCTAGAAACTCCCAGAACTTCCAAAGACCAGCTGATTGGCAAAAATGTTTTCTTGTGGAATCCCGAGGATTGATGCCACAGGCTACAAAAGAGTTTCTCAATTAACCACCAAATATTATAGTAATATCCGATAACAAGGTTGTTTTAATGGAAAGGAACCTACATGCTGTATAATGACTCTAAACTTATAAAGCAGATCATCGGATACCACATTGTTTGGTTGTAAAACAACATTAACCATATCATACATACTTCAATAGTTTTATATCTGATTGCAGGTTTCAAAAAACGGTCCGCGACCGCGATTTCGTCATTGATATAGCGGTTTCGCCGCCATCCGAGTTACCCGCGACGGCCGCAATCACCGTAAATCCGAAATAACCGAAAATGTGACCGCGACCGCGATTTGAAACCCTGTCTGATTGTTCTCCCAAGTCACCGTTTGCATTTTGCTGCATGTCTAGGACCTAAAGCCATGCAAGGATTTGCCACTTTGTGTTTAAATGAAAACGAAAACAGATTTCGATAGAAAATACCTAGAAAAAGTCTAAAATATATGATTATTTTTAATTTTTAAGGGGAGGGGCCACTGCCCCCGCCTAGCCCAGCTCTGTTTCCAGGTTCTTAAGTTCGAGTTTCCATTTTCAATGCCTTCAGAATATTGCAAATGATTTTAGACTATGCCCATCAAAATGGAAAACAAAACCCTTGAATGTCTTAACAGAATAAAGTAAAACATAGATAGTCTTTCAAGCATTTAGAAGCATAGTTGCATACGTTGATCATTTGGCGGAAGCCCCAAATTAGATAAACATTGGTATTCCTAGACTTCAGCTTCTTGACTAGTTCTTCTATGCCAGGAGAAAGCCTATATATCAGTAAGAAGAACAATGAACACGGCCCTTAAATCATTATGTCGAATAGAAGACGATGAAAATGGCAAACATAAATAAAAAAAATGGTTAATTCATCGTGAAGTTGACGCCCTTCCATGATTATATTAGTGTAGCAATTTTCTTGGAGAACATAGTTTTGGTTTATAGTATTGCTAAATGATGATATACAAACATTAGGAAAGCCCAAACCGAGGGGCAACAAACAAGTTTTATAAATTTAAATTACATACAACAATTATAAAAGTTAATATGAGTTTTTGGCAAATAAAAAACCTTATGTGACAATCACTTTCTATTAAATCATAAACTGAGAAACATTATATAAAAGATGAGAGCTTGACTTCACTAACCTAGGACAGTTGGCTATAGAACACTGGGTTTAAGGTTCTGAAACATGTAAGATATTGGGAAAGGTTAAGATGGTTGTTTCAGAGACAAATGGCCAATGACAAAATAGAAGCCCCGGAATTTAGTTTGTTATAATGTAGCAACATTAAAATAATTGAATTAAATGAAACTTCGCTTGCAACAACAGGGCAAGCACTACAACTAAAACAAATATAACAAGATGTCACAATATTTAAAACAAATATTGAACATATTGCAGCACAAAAATTGCAAGTTTAATTCGAATTACGGACTTGTTAGCAGAATGTATTAATCTGACGCTACTAACTATCCATAACTGAGAAGCATTGTTATCATATGAACATATCAAGATATAATCAAGACAATGAAGTATAAGCCTTGTACCTAGGGGCCCTTTTTTCGAGATAATCCTTGACTTGAGATAGGGAAGGTTTGAATAAAGACAATCGGGCAGATAAGGCCTCCTCGAAAGGAACAGAACCACCCATTGCTCTACAAATAAAATAAAATAAAAGAATAATATATATAAAAAAAGAATCAACCGTCTATGATTCACAATGGAATTGAAGTAATTAAAAATGTGGGGGAAAAACCTAGCAGTCCATTCTGCAACAGCCTTTCCAGCCCCACAAAATTCTGCAAGTTCATCGATGCCCTCATCTACACATACCGTGCTATCAACATCAAAGCACACGGCATCAGCACTTCTCCACAGCTCAAGAACCTCTGGAATGTAATAAAGGAGACTATCAATAATGGTAATCACAATTACTTTTTCAAGACATAAAAAAAAATATATTACTCAAACTTGGGTTTGAATGTCAAATAGTTTGCGTCTGATACAGGTATGATCAGATTTTTTTCCATGCATTTCTATGCATTTTCAGAGGATCCTTGTAGACCATATCCCCATATTCATGTGTTAAACACAAATGTCGACACAAGAAAAACAAAGAGTCGGAGCATTCTAACTTTAAACTCTTAACCAGATTCAGGCTTTCATCATTCAAGCTCATAAATTCGGAAGCCATTCAACTTTAAAATTAAACCCTTTCTTGTTATTTATCCAACATTTTGGGGGAACTCGATTAAAGCAATATAAAAAGTGAACCGCTTGAAATACTAGGATAAAACCTTTGGAAGGCTGCTTATTATCAATGTGCCGAGTAGTTGAGGCTTCTGATGGTTGAATTGAAGCGGCAATATAATCCAATGAATCGGGACGATTCACCATCCGAACTAAACCCTTATTCAAGTTTTTCCTTAACTGCAAGGAAAACTTAGGGAGAAAAGCAGAGTAATGCCGTCTACAAGAAGCTGGAATCGGAATGATTCGTGAACTCGCCAATCCTTCCATTGACAAAGTTATATGTTTCTAACAATCCAAAACAGCAAAGCAAAAATCTTCCAATACCATCAAAAGAATCTATTAACAAGCCATATCCAGAAGAAACAAAACAAAACCCATTTCAAAGGAAAACTATACATTAAAAACACAACCATATGAGAAAATGTACAAGTACAACATACAATCAAAATTCTCGCATTTTATCAGACACCGCCATAGATTAAGGGAAAGAAATATTGAGAAGAAAAAACATTGAAACATGCAGAAAGTTAACAAGGAAGGCAAAACGAAGCTTACCGCTGAGAGTGCAAAGATGTTGGAGATTGGATTTGTAGCTTTTTCAAAGCTTTTGAATGGAGTTTGTGGTTACTGCTTTCGGATCTCTCCCTCCCTCTGGGTTGGTAAGTATGTATGTTTTCTAAAGTTGTTGGAATAGTTTTTGGTTAAATTACTAATATAGTCATTCATGTTATCTTTTTATTCCTTTGGATTACTTATTACCGATTTTATCACCAAACTTTGAATTTTATTTTTTTAGGCAGTAACAAAACATTGTGTTTTAGAGCGTTTTTAATGGAATTAACTTGATATTTTATTTTCCTTCCTTTATCATCAATGTCCTTTTCATTATCATTTAACCATCGTCAGACATTATTTATCAGTTTGAAACTAAAATGTCTTTCTTCTCAATTTTTTTTTCCAAAATGGATAAAATTTAAGTTCAAATTGTGATTGTACCTTAGTCTAATATAATCTATATCTTCTAATTATTGTAGAATCAAATATATTATTATTATTATTTTCTATATTTTTCATCATTTAATTTTGAAAGAAATATTTAATATCATCGAACTAAAAAGTTCAAAATTTTCAATTTAAGAAAAAATTATTTATTTATCTGAAAAAGAAAACAAAACATTGCATACTTAATCGGAAGTGACAAAATATGAAATTAAAAATTAGGTGAAAAGATCAGAAATTTTATAATTTGAGTAATCAACACAAAGGGAAAATTAAGGACTGAAAATGTGGTTTATCCGTATATTTCTTTCTGATTGTGCCGAAAATAATTACAAAAGGCACACTTGGTTGGTGAAGACTGACTAGTGAAGAAAACCCAACAAATTCGAGTTTTACATATTTTGTAAAATTAAACTGGTTTCGGACTGATTAAAATTGAGTTAATTAAATTTTATTATCTATATATATATATAATAAAATAAAATTTTAATGCATACAATAAAGATACAAAATCACTCAAAATATTACAATTTTACAAATTCTCAAAAGCTTAAATATTAAAAATCCCTTTAAACATAAAAATTCAAGTAAGCTTTTATTAAAGAAATTTGGAAGTGAAAAACAACTAAAACGATAAAACATAAAATAAAACATGCATATAAGATAAAATTGAATATGATAATCAAATATATGATATCACATGTATTATAAAAACTCGGTATATCTCTAAACACTCTTTCAACATCTGTATAAAACACATTTATACAACATAAATCCCAAAGTTGCAAAGAATTAAAAATATTACATCTCTGCAAAATAATTCTTTCATGCTCGTACTAAAGGTTAAATCATATTCTCTATTTATAGAGTCAAATGCTTTATCACCAACAATTTGTTGAAGACAATCCTCAAAGCATCATACTCCACATTCTTTAAGATCTCATCAGCAAGAACAGATACCTGAAAGTACAAATGTTGCAAGTATGGAGAAAAACAGTAGAAAAAGTCCAAAAAAAAAAAACAAGATTCAAATATATTAGAAAATTAGAGTTCATCCAAAAAGGTTGCTGGTTAACACAGTCAACTGCAGTCTACAACATTGTGTACAGGACAAATTTATCAAAAGGCAAGGTGGCTAGGTAAAGGAAGGATTACGGAAAGTTAAGGTTGAACTCCAAGTGAATTTGGGATTGCATTATGCATTTGATGTTAGACAAATTGAGCATTAATTAAAGCTTGGTTTAAAAAAGCGCGCATCATGCGGTAGGGGTACATAATGCGGTCTGATGCGATCCGATGCGGTTGATGCGTGCCGTTGCGTTTAGTAAAAGTTTTTTTGGGCGTTTAGTAAAATCTTGGCCACCACAGTCCCGGTCAAGGTAACCCTGACAAGAAAAGCAACGTTGCACTGAGTGTGGTCGCCGTTAAAAACTTGGCCGCCTACCGAGATGATGGAGCTGACTCGTACAGCTTCTGAGTCATGGGTTTCTTTTGATCATTCGACATGATGAAAAGCCCTGATCGTACAATGAAAGAGATCAACAAAAGAAGGGCAAAACGGAGTGTAAGATGATGAAAGAGGATGTTGAGGTGAAAAGAGAGCTGTGAGGGTGGCGTTATAAGGAGGGAGGTTAAGTGTATATTTAATACACCTTTATCATACGCGTGTACCGTATTATCTAGAAAGGTGTAATGTTGTAATTGAGTCTGGAGTATTGTGCGCGTGTTTGATTGAGCAGCTTTGCATGGATGTTAGTTGATGAGGATGTGACGCGTGCCTCAGACTCTTGGGCGGGCTTAGTAACGGATCTTTTTCTGTTCGATAATGGGCATGCGTTTCGATGCACTACTCGGTTGAATTAGTTCTTCGCATTAATTCAACCATATGGATTCACACTATAGTTCAAATTAAATTTTTAGTTATTTTAAGATGAAGATTTGGTGTTTCTTGATGATGATCTTACATGGGATGTGGTGGGTAGAGTTTCCGGGGCTAATGAGTAAAGTCATTTCACTAGAGGATCAAGAAGAGGAGGTGATGATGGGATCGGCCCATCAAGAAATGATAAAGGAAAAATACTCGCTCTTGTTGATGAAGATGAGATGGAGGAAGACATTGGAGTGACTGATGATGATGAGGGAGATGGAGACGTGCTCGGGTTTAATGATGGGGATCTTGGAGACATTTAGTTTGTGACTAGAGAAAGTTTGGAGAACTTAGTGGGAGAAAGGGAAGTGGGGGCTATTGTTGATTTGTCTTTTGGTTGTTTTGATTTTCCTACGCGTATTTGTCTATTTTGTTATTCAACATTTATGAAGTACTATTAAACTACTTTTGGTATTAATGAAGTATTTTGATATATAAGTATTTACAAGGTATAAAATTAGTTCAAAAGTATTTTTTTGTGAAAATTGGCGCATCGGTTCGTGATGCGAGCGCATCATCATCACGCATTACGCATCGGCTTCGGAGAACTAACGCATCAGAGCGCATCCCGCATTTTAAAACCAAGAATTAAAGCTAGAATTGATATTGATAAGTGCCAATGTTATATTCTATCTCAGGTTAACAGTTTGAAATGTGTTAAAATATAGTCTTTCTTTTGGATTTATGAGTCCAGCATTTGATAATTGTCTTAAATATTAGATTTGAGACCAAAGGTCCATTAAAAGTTTGCTTCTATTATCATATTCCCCTTATCAGTTCGAACTTCATTCAGTCAATTTTGGTAGCTCCCACTTGGGAATCTACTAAATGTATAGTGGGATAACTAAAGACTACATACATGTACAAATTAGATTATTCAACTAACAGAGAACAATTGGAGAATTTTCACCTGTAAGCTCTGTAGGTTTGTGTGAACAATACCTAATCCTATATGAAGCCTTTATGGCTTTTATGGGAAGACTGAGGAGATCTACCAATGAAGCCAGGATATTATCTCTTATTATTTTAATTTCCAACACTACGACAGATTAACCAACCTTAAAGCATTCTCATTCAACCCAAAATCACCATTTATCAAACTCTAATTAGATCCACAACAAGACAACCTCCAACCCTACCTTAAATTACTGTTCTGGCTATTATCACATCCCAGGTCAGTAGGTTGCCCCAAATGGAGTCTTTCCTTTCTAAACCAACCGGTTAAATGATCTATTATCAAATTAATCTATAATTGCTGGTCCTCCCATTATATGACTGGATTTTTCTTAATGTGATATATCCTACTCCTGAATGACCAAAGATGGCAATAAAGAAATCAAGCATTTAAAGGTTCTTTCATAGTCGCAAATAAAGCACAACGACAGACCTGAGTGTAGTTCAAAGGATCTTCTGCAACTCAGTTATGATTATCTCAATGTCCTTCTTAGAGTCCGAATTAATTGAGCCTTAGCCTTCTCTCCCAAATAACATATTTGTTTCTTTTTCAGGACCTTCAGAATTAAGATATTGAACTCATAAGCATCTATTTGGATACCAAAAAGAGGGAGCAAAAAAGCAGTAGCTTGGGAGATATACCAGAGTTCAACTTGTGGAGCCCTTTGCTTATCTTGATAGATGTAGAGTTAATTCCACGACAGAGACCTTTGTCTGAATAGATGGTCACCACGACGCTCTTCTTCACATCAGCACCTAGCATTGTGACAAGACATTAATAAATGAGGTAGAAGAAAAATATAAATTTGATAGAAGTAAAACATAATAGTAACAAAATATTGAAGGACAAAACAAGAGAATGAATAGAAACCCTATAACATTAACCAAGCAGCTTCGATTCGCCACTCTTTTCAACTTGAACCAAGCATACTAGTTATTAACTGAATCAAACTATGTATTGTTGATACATAACCAGTTCTGTAATAACCACAGCCTGTTTAAAGCATATTTCCTTAGGCGCAAATGATGAACTCTCTTGTTTCTTGGTGGAAAACGGAAAATCATTCTATTTTGCTTCCTGGGGTGATTAGACTGTCAACTGTTCTGGTGGACAAGCTTAATCCATTTCCCTTCTAACAGAGGTTAATGCCTTAATTATCTTTTCAAAATCCCAATTTGAAGATGTACATATAAAAAAATGAGCTAAATAGTTGATTCTGGTCTGACTCGTGATCTAATTTTCAAAATACAGGAAAGTCAAAGTATAAAAATTTGATTGAACCTTGTACGATTTATAATGAAATTTATTTTTAGCTATTTTTTAAAAGAGAATTAATGCATTAACCTCTGTTAGAAGGAAATGGATTAAGCTTGTCCACCAAAAACAGTTGACAGTCTAATCACTCCGGAAAGCAAAATAGAATGATTTTCCGTTTTTACACCAAGAAACAAGAGATTTCATCATTTACGCTAAGAGGTAAGAAATATGGCAATTAATTAAAGTTTCCTCTCTTTTTGGGCGCCTGAGTTGTTAATCTTCGAACATAAATCAAAGTAAATAAAGAAGTGCGATGAGAATACACACACAATCATAAACGAGAGACAGCGAGAGATGGAGAAAATGAAATTCATACTCGTAAGAGGGAGCGAGAGGAGGATCGGACGGCGGTAACTGGCAGTGAGACACCAAAGGAAC